AAGAGAGAAATCTGTAATCGGATCGCTATGAAACAAAACCACGCGGCGCTTGTTTCCCAAGGAGCTGTTAAACGATATCAGAATTAGATGGTTACACACAGGCACAGTGCAAAGGAAGCTGTATAAGCACTGACAGCACTGCTGTGCTCCAAAAATCACACAGACCAGCATACTCAGACTGCTGTCAGATCCCTGCTTGGGTTCTTACATTCATGAGATGTATCCACAGCTCCTGACATTTTCCTTTAAACGCAATTTATCCCACTCATTAACAAAAAAAAAAGGCAGCAAATTAAGGGTGAAATTGATCCCTGAATCCACGTGGCCACAGGAGCACAGGAAAGGTGCAGCCAGCATTTCTGGCGAGGGCTGCTCTCCATCCCTCCCTGGTCCTTCAGGAATTCTCTATCCCACAAGAGGGCTCTCGCTCCCCGCGGTCCAGACACGGACAGTCCCAGCGGGACAAGCCTGAGTGCAACCAGCCCTGAGCTCCCAAGGGCAAAACAGATTTACTCATCACAGAGGAATATTTAACATGCCAGTTTTGTACCGATCCCACTGCTCGAAGCACGCAGCACATCACCTGGAACAACGACCCATCCTGACAAAGCCAAGATGGGGCAGCAGCCAGAGAGGGTATCGAGACACCTCTCCGGCTCCCAAATCCTTCCCCGGGTACAAACCAGCACAGACACCTCTCCAGCTCCCAAATCCTTCTCCGGGTAGAAACCAGCACAGACAGCTCTCCAGCTCCCAAATCCTTCCCCGGGTACAAACCAGCACAGACACCTCTCCAGCTCCCAAATCCTTCTCCGGGTAGAAACCAGCACAGACAGCTCTCCAGCTCCCAAATCCTTCTCCGGGTACAAACCAGCACAGCTAAGGACAAGGACACTCAGAGGGTACAAACCAGCACAGACACCTCTCTGGCTCCCAAATCCTTCTTCGGGTACAAACCAGCACGGCTAAGGACAAGGACACTCAGAAGTTCTCTCCTTCACCCCACCACATCTCAAACAAAACAAAACCCTTTTAAATCCACCCTAAACTGGTACACCCTGAGCTAAAAGTTAAGCCAAGCTGTTTGCAGGACAGAGACCCTAAAAATGACAAGGAATATCTGGTCTCATCCTATGCTGCAATTTGAAATCTTTCAGGAGAAAGGGCATGGATCGCTCAACTCTTCATAAATAGTAGCTACCAGAGCTGAAGCAGTTTAAAGGAGTTTTAATCTCAATACCTGAATACCAAATAAATGGAGAATTACATTATGAAGTACCCCAAGGCACACCAGAATAGAGGCCTGGCAGAGCACACGCAGGGGCTCAGACGGGTGCAGGAGACAGAGTTATGCCCATCCCTGCAACCTCATCTGACTTAAGGGCTCTGCTATGCCATTTACTATTTTTGGCACCTGTCTCTACAACTTTAATTTTTATTTTATTATCTATACAGGTGTCCCTCTCTGCAGCCAACAGCCTCACCTGCTGCTGCCTCCCTGGGCTCGCTCTGTCCTCCCACACACTGTTCTTCCTCTGTGCTCAATACATCACCACTGAAGATCTCAAAAATGCCTGAGTGGGATATGTATTTTTCACTGGCTCAGTCTCCAGCCCCTACTAATTTCTAGTTCTTTTCCCTTGGATTGCAACATAGAAGAAAAACTCCCTGAAATATTTGTAGTGAATCTCCAAAACGTGTTTGTCAAGCTAGAAACAATCACGCAGATCTCCAGCACAGCACAACAATGTGAGGCACTGGAAGGACATTTAGCTCACTGGCAAACAGCCATAACTTTTATTTATACAGTGTGAGCCTACACTTGTTCTAGAACTTGGTTTTACATACCATCTCCTTCAACTTCACCCACCTGCTCCAGCTGTGACTTTACTGTATGGTTCAAGTAAATTAAGGGGAGGAATTGGAAAAGAATCATGAATCCAAAAGCAAAAGTATTTTGTAAGTAAGAAAACCTTTTCAGATCTAACATCCCTAGTTATAGAGTTCTATGACAGAACTCCTTTTGGACAAAAATAATAGGCCACCACAATCTCCAGCTTAGCACTAATATGGTCAAAATCCAGACTATACAAAACCTGATTAGAAATCCTATGTTTCACTAAAATATCTATTCATCAGTGTAGGACTACTAAGATAGATTTTATTTTTTTTAAATTCTCCTCATGCAAACTCTCTTATAGGTTGAGATACGTTAAATCAATTCTCTTCTAACTCTTTAATGACTTCACTATTGAAAGGCATTTGAAAACATTATTTCTTTTTGATTCCTGCTTAAGAATGTTGGGTTTTGTCATAATTTTCCTATGTTTTCTTCCAAGAGAACAAAGTGGCCACATGCTAAGCATGTGGTCAATAAAGTAATGCTGGCTAAAAAAGGAAGGTCATGGAAAATCTCACCTGCAGCACAATGCCTGAACTGAGAGCAACAGGCCAAGGAAACTCTAATTTGTCAAACTCATGGGTTAAAACTTTGCCAAACATTTAAGTTAACCTCAACTTTATAACAGTACAAGCTCTGATATTGTATATATTTCACTTCTAGAACTGGTATTGTACATTCCCCAGACTCACTCAGAGACCAACTGGTATTCAAATTACTCAGACTGGCTGGTATTTTGGATTCTGTTGGCACTAATTGGAGAGGCTGGCCGATATTTCTAATTATCCTGGCATTAATAGCCTGGAAATAGCCTCTCCGCTCCTTCTCTCCCAAGATTTATGAAAGCACTAATGCTGGCATAATTATAGACAGGAACAACTGGCAGGCTGGTACTGGCTGCCACCCAAAAGTCTTACAGCTTTCCCAGAATCCTTCTCCTATTCTTTGTAAACTCGGCATCCAAGTTCTTAATCCTTTAAATAATGTTTCGTAAGTTGCTTAAAATACACTGTATCATTTCCGCAAATATTCCTAATCCCCAGATTTCAGAGGGAGACGCTGTAGGACTTCTCCACCAGCCCTGCTTTCTCCAGCCTGTGCTCCCTGTTCCTCTCCAGGACAACCCATACTGTGATGACCACCAGTGCCTGTCTGAGGAAACGAGAACAACTGAGCTCCACAAATCCCCTACAGTTTGCACAATACTCACATAGCATTTGAACTCCATTTTAAACAGTTTTCCCTGCTATTTCAGCTGTATTTCAAACTACACACTCACTTAACACAGGGAGTTTGAGTGTCTCTTGGAAAGTGCATTTATGGAATTCGGTTTTCGAGATTTTAAACGGGGTTTGTTGACTGCATTCCCCACAGCAGGCACAGTAAATAAACATGAAAGGAGGAAGAGGCCACTGCAGGTACAGTGATGCAGGAATGGAGCACAGTCCTTCACAAGACCTCATTGCACATCTGAAGCAAAGCTGCCAGCACCAGATCTGTAACCAGGAGGCAGGACAGCAATCTGCTGTGACCACGCCAGCATTAGCTTCTGTGTTTGGGTCATATTGGCAATAAAATGGAACAGACTGATATTCAATCTGACACAGAGCTGCAGAGCAAACTGTCAACAATTAGTGTAACACACCCTAGGATCTCTGTAAAGCATTTCTTGTGCAAGCTCTCATACAAGCAACTGAATTTTTTCTACATACAAACATTTCAAAGACAGAACTGGACCTATGAAACATTCCTAAAATATACACAAATCCCAGTTTTATCCATGGCTCTCCTCTTCCATGTCTCACAGGGGTGGCACAGCCACAGGACAGATCTAGAGGGCAAGAAAGTGAACAAACACAAACATGGAGCTCTGTGTATCTGAATGCTCGTGCAGCATCAGTGAGATGCTTGGCTCAGATTATCAGCAAGTATAAACGAGCACATCTCTGCTACCTCAGGAAGTTTAAAACTTTGTGGCAGAACAAAATTATCCTCATATACCACCACATAAACTTCATTACTAACTACCCATCACCAAATCGTTAAATAGTGTGGGACTGTATCAGTCTCTCTTGAGTAAATTTAAATGAGCTGCTTACTGGATGAGAATTAAAGCTGCTTTGAGTTATACACAAACCAGGGGCACACACTGTGTGAGAGGGATGTCCTTGTCTCTGGCTCAGCAACAGTCCTCCCCTTTCCCATAGAGAATGAATAGGATACTCTCGCTATCCATATGTGCTAGAGAAACATATATTTACTACCACTTAATCACAGAACGAGCATTTCACATCTAATTAGTAACAAAGGCCTGATTCTTACAGCAGTGCCAGCAGCATTTTTCAAAGCAGTTACAGTTTACTGATTTTGATGAACATTGGCATCAGGAGAAAGCATCACCTCCTTTACAGTCACATTTTCTGTTTGGTATATTTTTAATGCTATTTTTTTTCCTGATTAGCCTTTTGTTTATCCTGGATAATCAATCCTGGTACAAGGTCATCAATCGATTAGTTCAGGTTTGTGTGTTCAGAGTTCATAGCAAAAGAGCCAGAGGGTGAAGCTTTCCCTAATTACTAATTTTAACTGATTTTGTTGCCAGACAACTGATGCCAATCCCAGCACCTGAGGTGCAGGCATGTCAGATCCCACTGAATTTCAAAGTGCCTGAGACAAGGGGCTGATCCTAACTCCTTTGAAGTCAATGAAGGCTTTCCTAGTGTATATCCTATATAACTGAGTTACAACTTGCTGATCTTTTACTCTGATGGTAAAGAATGAAGAATGTCCTCCACAGTTCTTCAGGCATTTTAAGAAGTAACAGTTTATTAGCAAAGTATTACCACTGTAATTCAAAGACCTAGAACAGTAATGGGAAAGCATTTCTGTTCTCTAACTAACATGTAACACTCAATCACATTACAAACCATTTAACCCAAACTGGGATGGAAAAAGGTAGGATAGCAGGAATAATTTTGTCTATTGATCATCTTTCAGAGTCTACAGGCAAGGAAAACCCCCAATATGCAGAACCAAACCGCAGAAGCAGCAGCTGGGTAGGACTGGCACAGTGACACATTCAGCAATATAACCTTCTAGAATTTACCACCTCCCCCAGTCCTACGGCTGTAAACTACAGTGCTTCTGCTGTCACTTTACAACAACAATTCATTTTCTGCATACACAAATGATGCCACCTACACTCCTGGCTGCATTTTACACGCTATAAACTGTGCCTCTGCCTTGAAAAACAAGAGGAACCAGGTGAGATACTGTTGAGTATCTGACATGCTCCGAGATCCAAACTGCCCCAGAGGGAGACAATCTGTGATCCATCATGTGGCAGTACAAAGGGGCTGCTGGAGCCCCTCCCTTGGTGGGTAGCAGAGCTCGAGCTGGGGGCACACACTGGTGTGACTGGGATACAGCCTCCACCACTCCCCACATCTCCTGTGCCTGATGCCAGTTTTGTTTCCACAGTCTGAGGCTGCTGCAGCCTTTGCACGACAGCTTTCCAGGACCTGTGTGTCAGGAGGGCTTTCCATGGCTCACTCACACCATCCTTCCCAAGGAAGGGCTCAACTTCCCAGGCAGGCTGCCATTTTAAGGTGTTTTTCCAACTTATCATCGGATAGATTTCTTGTTCTCTGTTCTGTAAAGCCCTCTCTGCTTTGCAGCCACGATTTAATTTCCTTCTGATCGCTGATTTTCCCGTGTTTATATTTTATCCTGTGCCCTGTAGCTAATGAATGCTGCTCTAGCTGAGATCTGGCAGCGCATTCGCTGTTGCCTGGCAAGGTTTCTCCTCTGCCCTGATATATTTATTTCTTGATTTCACCAGGACACAGTGTGGCATTGTGGAAAAGTCAGTGCTTTTGCTTACGTGGAGTTTACACAACCAAGTGCGAGGGTACAGGGCATTGCAAGTGAATTCTCTTTTGTACTTGGTTGCTGTAATTCCAGTAGCTAACTGCACTTCATGTCAGAGGCACAACTTGCCATGGCACATGAAAAAGTGAGTGGAACATCCTGCCAAGCTCACCACTGCACGAGGGGAGGCTCCTGCGGATCCAGGCACAGCAAGCCTGCGTCTTCAGACTTTTTCTTTAATAAGTTATAACAGCAATGTTTAACTCAGTGACTCAGAATTGCATTTCTGTCTCATATCAGAGAAAAAAAATTTGAGAGAAGCTACACCTGTGGCATTAACTGTCTCAGAACCTGACAACTACATTTCAGCCAGGAGTCCTGTCAAACCATTGGAGATGTACCAAATTGATTTGTGCAGGGCCATTATTCATTCATCCCTGCTGGCTAGCTATCCATTATGATCTCAGATTTCAGGGCTGTTACTGAGAAAACAAGGTAATTAAAATAGACAGACTAAAGGAATCTGGATGCCTTCATTTTCCCCCGTTGGTACCTGACCTAGCCTAAACCAAACTGCTTTTCCCTGTGGAAAACAGATGATGCAACCATCCTTTCTGAAAACAAAAGTCCAGGTATATACTCAGTATTAAAAGGTTTAAAGGACAAAAGAATTTTAGAATTGCCTTATAGATATATAATCAAAATTATGCTTCGAATCCATGCAGACAAAATAAACAACAAAAGTATTTGCACTGTATTAATGGTCTGCTGTTGGTCTTTCATCTGAGAAGACCTCCTATTGCTTCCCTTCCCTCTGCATGCTGGAATCATCCACATTTCCACTGTTTTATTGCTGCCATGTTCCCATGGCTCCAAGTTACTGGAAGCCTTGGAAGAGATCACAAGTGCAGAGTCAAGGTGTCACAGAAGGTGTAATGGGATCATCCTGGCCCACACTTCTGGAGAAATCTCTCTTTAATCTTCTTTCCCAGACCTCATATTCCACTTTTTTCCTTCTTCACTGATGACCTTTCCCCTTCCATTATGCACAGAGGGACAGAAAGTCATTCTGCAGTTATTGTTTAATTTCAGTTCAGTTCAGAGGGTTTCTCAAGATGCAGACCCCACTTGCTGTGACACTGCACACAATAAATGTTTGCACAGCGAGTGGTTCCAAACACCCAACACGTACCAGAATGATTCAGGAATACATAACTAGTGAAATGATGGAAAACTATTCCTAACAGAATACTTCCTTTAGAATATTATTAGACTACAAAAGACCTCAAGAGATCTTTCTCAGACTGTACAACCAAACACACTTTCACAAGTTTCATTTCCTGACTCATCACTATTTTTCTTCACATGCAGCACAAACCTCTTCTGTCACCCAATATGTATTTCTGCTTGCACAAACGAAAGGAGGCAGAAAGGGATTAGGGGATGGAGGGAGGGCTCAAAACCAGAATCCACCTCCAGCAAATCCTCCACATCATCTTGTCAGGGCACCCTCCCCAACAGCCCCACTGCTCACTGACCATGTAAGATACTTAGGAGAGAATTTATTTCCTTTTGTGTCTGGAACAGGATTAATTGCCACTATGTAAAGGACACTTATATTGACCCTGAGTACATTCTCTGCAGAAAGGGCTGAAAGACCATGGTTCTTCTCTTCTGAGGCAGGAACAGTATTTTTTCTGCACTCAGACAGCAACCAGAAGAAAAGAACTCTAAGATACATCACAAGTAATTAAATAATAAGCAATGCTAATTAACAAATAAAGTACACCAAATAAGTGAAAAAGATTTCAAGAGTACAGAAAAAGAACATGATCTCTGCATAAAATACATGGAATGGAAAGTTTTCCCCCCCCCCACTGCCCCTTTCACCTTTCCAACTCTTTACCTAATGCCATCAGGATTTCATTTTCCTATTTCTACTTTTTCCTGTATTTAATTATTTTTCCTTACTCAGCAAATCCTTGTAAAGTCTGAGTGCCATTTATTTGTGTATTTATTTCAACCAGTCACTACTTACCTCATCCCACTCCAGAAGGTAGCTGGTGATTTTTGAGCCATTATCAATGGGTGCCTATGAACAAAAATAAACAAAAGGTGATTTGGGGAATAAGAAAAACCTACTTCACTCCCCCCCCAGGCAAATGACTACAGTTTCAAGTGAAACCAAAGCTTTGCACATGGCTTGGCAACCTCTTAAGGAATACCGGGAAGAAGCTGGACGTAATGAAACACATACATTTTAAAAGTCAAGTCAGTGCACGGGAAGGGATTTGTCAGAGAATAGCAAATTCGAGTCCCTTACTGAAAAACGACTGTCTCAGCTTTCAATTGTTTTCAACATTTATGCTCACTATCAGTAAACTATTTTTCCCTGCTTTCTTGCCTGATCCAAGCACTACTTACCTTCCACTGTAAGGTTAAGGAGCTTTTGGTCCTGTGCGAGGGTTTGGGTGGGAAGGGACACTCTGGTGCTGAGCTATGAGTGGTGAAGCTTACTGGCTCTGAGCAGGATCCCTTTACTGAGTTGTACATTGCATATACCCTGGAAACAGAATTCAAATGGGTTATAAATTTGCTGACAGTTACAGTGGCATTGCCTCAGCCACAGTATTTGACTACCAAAGCATCCATGATACCACACACTAATGACAGATTTATCACAAACCAGTGGCTATCATTTTACTTCACTTCATATAAGTAAGCAAAAAAAAAAAAAAAAAATCACAGCAGAAGAGGAACATTACAATGTTTTATGCAAATACTCCCATAGACCACTGAGTTATCTTCATCATCTTTTCTTTCCACCACTATTCCCTTGCCTATTGCAAGACCTCCACACACTGTGCTAAAGTCCTCTTTTCAATACAACAGAAAGTATGAACTCATGAGAAAAAAAGAAGAAATATGAACTTTAATGCCTGGTTTACACTTGATTCACATGTACCATACTGACTGGTGGTAACTGCTGGTCTCCTTCCATGGGTACAAGCTTCTACATAGCTCAAGGGTTGCAATGTATTGGACCTCCATGGATTAGAATTAATACAGCTCAGTAATGCTTTGATAAACTGAAAATCTTCAAATTTGATTTCAGGCAAATCCTCTATATATCAGCACAGACCAGGATATACAATAGCAAATAATGTGGGAAAGTGAATACAATCTAGTTGAGCCCTTCCTCAAGAGGTGCTTTTCTCTGAAAAATTAATGATGTTATTTTTTCCCCTTACATTTTCCATGCAGCACTAGAAAAGATCAAATTGGAAGTCATCTACTCAAAAAAACCCGTTCAAACCATGACCAGACGATGACCTCTGAGTTGGCTGTAGCTATTGTGTACTTGAATGCAGAGCTAAGGAAAGGGCAATTTCTAAATTTGTTTTCAGTAGATAAGAGTAATGTATGTACAATGGCCACCTACGTAGAATCGAACCTTTTGGGGCAAGGTTGACAAGAACTGCTATAGTGCTGCTTTACCCATCACCTGTTAGCAGTTAGGAATGAAAACAATTAATTAATTGTGTCTGTATCTCGCAAGTGTATGTACATGTGCTGGAAATGAATGTAGCCAAGCATCGAACACATACCATAAGGGAATAAAACTATGCAAAAAGGAGCTTAATGGGCATCTTCTGCAGCTCACTGAAACACTGCGCAGTCAGCTCTGAAGGTACCAAACCAACACACCTGAAGTAAGGCAGGTGGGATGTTCAGAGTGAACCAGCTTTTCCCAGGGCCCAGCAGGGCAGCAGCAAGTACAAGCACCTTGTCTGGTGGAGATGACGCCCTGAGAGATGCTGCCAAGGTCAAGAAGCCCCAGGGCAATCTGCCCAGTAACTGCTGACCCTATAAATTTCTTTACTTAACAGATTTATTTCTTCACAGCCATTAATACATAATGCAGTTTCAGTGAAGAAAGAAACTGTCATGGAAAGCAAACAGCCAGACTGTTCAGTGTCAGCTTGCTCCACTACAAACGTGTTGCTGCTTTGGAAGTCTGACTTTTATATTTAGCAGTCACTGGTTTTTTAAACAGAAGTTATCGCTAACTGTTCACAAATGACTTACAATTTGGCAAACCTGCAGGAAGGTGAGGGAGTTGTAGGCAGGGAGGAAGAAGTCAGCCAGGACATGAGGTAAATACCCACAACACCCCTAAAAATGACCGAGACCTCAGAGACCTCAACCAAACTGTGCATGGTGACTGCTCTGCTGTTTGAAGTTGGCTTCAAAAGAGATGCTTGATGCTTACAGTAGGAAGCTCAACAGTGTTTTATAACCTATTCCTCTGTGCTACCACCCCTTTGCTGTTAGGGCTGGGACTCCTGCCTGACCCAGGAGCTGCATCTTTTCCTCATTTATGAGAAGTTACTTCTGGTCTTGTGCTTCTACTTGAAAAGTTCATTTTAGGGCTCCACTACAAACTATCCTTAAAAATAAAAAGTATCTAGAGTATCAGAGCAAGATGGACACATTGTGGTGCTGGATCATTTTTACAGCTCAAAGTGTTTGCTCTTTTAAGTTTTACAAACAGGATCAGTGTTGATGTGAAACAGCATGCCAAACCTAGCCCTTGTGTGGAAAAACAGAAGGGAACAATAGACGGGAGCAAAAGGATTTTTTAAAAAAGGATATTGAGGGCAAGTGAACAGGATGTGAATTTGAAGCCTTGGTTCATAAATGAAGTATTTGAAAACAAAGCAACATGAGCAGGTAACACAGACAGTGTTAGAAACATCAGGGAGCAAAACTAGAATGTGTTAATAGTTAATAAATGTGCAAAACACGTTTTCAGAGTCAGGGAGAAATATGCCTTGAAATTATCAATGCAGGCCAGTGTGAATCCATTTTTTTTCTTGGAATAAATGCTGAAATTGCTGTGGTCAGATGGCTCTGTAATCAGCAGATCTACTTTCCAAAGCACAGAGGGAGTACTTATGATATAACTGTGCAGGAGTACTTTCAGTGCTAGCACCTATGTTACAGTAACTGAAGAAACACCAGTTGCTTGAGTCAAATTTTTAAGCAGCTCCAGGTGCTCCACTTTCACACACAAGCACTTCCAGGCCTGATACCCATATAGACAAAAACAGACATAAGTAGATGTCTTTTTTCCTCGTATACTATAGCAATGATAACAACCTGACAAAATGTATTATTCAAAAAGCACTCTCTGAACTTAAAGTGCAAGATAAACTCTACCAGAAACTATTCAGAAACCACTGAAAAACACACCTACAGAGGTGACTGTGAAATTCTTGGACTACTCTGCATCTTTAGTTAAAATACTTTGTCATACAGCTGAAGACTTTATATTTAAGTGACATTCACAGTCACACTAACTCACCTGACATGATAATCTGTTGCTGGCCTAAGGTCCTTCAGGTTATATTCTAATTCTTCTCCACTGCAGGAAGAAAAGCCCAAACCCAACAAATCAATAAATTATGAAAAATGGTAACACACTTAGCACAGCTAGTGATTTTCCAGCGACTAGCAACACCCTTATATTATGATTAGAAAGAATAAAAACAATCCCACCAAAGAAAACCAGTACCAAACAATATACCAACCATTTGTCAACAAACTTCATGTTCCTTGAAAACTTTATACAGTTCCATATAGACAGACGAAATCGATTTATCACCCCAATTTATGCAGTAAAACAGCCCAAACAACAGTAAAATATGGGTTTAACTCAATGCTATCCTTATGTTTTGTTGATATTTGCATAAAGCTCATTGTGGTTTTCAACCCTCCCAGAGCTGAAAAGAGTGGAATCCATACATTACATTTGCACTTTCTGCACATTCCTTATATCAAAATACTATAAAAAGTGAGCCATTGAGCTTCAGAGGAAGTATAGTTTCTTGCACAACATGGCTTTTTCCACCAGAATCACACTCCCTCTGAAGACCACAGTAAGAAGACATTTAATTAATGCCCAAACAGCTGGACTCAGCTCTCTCTTAATACCACGAGAACCAAAAGCAGAGTGTCAGGCATTTTACAAGAAAACCAGCATATAATCTATAAATTTCAAATGTAGCCAATGCAGTTAGGGCTATTCTCTTTCCTTCTGGCACGTTTGCTGGTAAATGAACACTGGGCTCAGTCATGTGTTGCCAATTCTGTGAAGATTAAGGTACGGGTCAGTGCTTAATAAGTAATAGCCATCTCATGTATGAGCTTGGCTTATTCATGATTTTATTAAAATATGGGAAAGAAGAAAGCTCTCAATTTAGCATAAAGACATATTTCATAGCTAGCTGGACAAATACAGGGAGATGCCTCAAAACCAAGAGAGCACAATCCACCAGAAAGCACATGTCTGCTGGGTTGCCAGAAACCCACCAGAAAACCTTCTTTTTTATTTCATATAATCCAATGCTATGCAAATCCAGGGATTTTTCCCTCTGAAATGAGTGCACCTCCTTGCAAAGACAATGTATTCAACATATTGCAGACTTTCTTTTGCCTACAGTAATAACAATTACTGCTGCTCCTGATGGAACATACCACATCAAGCTAATGGCTGCACTCTGGCCAGCAGCAGGAGACACATCACCACCAGCAGCTTTAAAACAGATGCACAACATTTCATAACCAGGAGAAAATGTGCAGCCATCACACCAGCAAGCACAAGAAGTACTAGAAAGTGTCCTTCCCATTTTAAGAGCTCAACAGCACATATTTAACTACAGAGATGCTCACATTGGCTCACAAATAGCTGGTGTATATGCCAGAAAAAGAAATAAAATGAGACAGCCTTTCCCTGGTTAATACACTCTTTTTTGTACTACCCAAAATTTGCTTCCAGCATACTGAGAGAAATACCCTCACTCACAGGACATCTTAAGAGAGGAGGTGGCTTGGTCTCAAGAGGTAATTCCATAAATGCTCTATCACCTGGACTTTATTTAACGAGATTTGGGAAGGATTAGCTATTTCACAATAGCCAAGGTCACATCTCCAAATTTTCTTCCCCAGACGTCATTAGTGGGGAAAAAAGAAAGGCATAACACCATATGTACTTGATCACAGAATGAGCTCAGAGGATCACTGAAAGGAGACACAGAGAAATCCCTCAGAATTTTTACTGAAGGCTGCTGAGAGCCAAGTGCGCAGGTTTTTCTGGGGAGCCTCTATAGCCAACTGATTGCTGTACACCCTCCTCAGCTCATCTAAGACACTACAAAGCAGAATTTTGCTCGTTAGCTGAAATAACAAGCTTTACTGTTCTAAATTCTGTGAGTCCACAAAAAATTAGCCCATTAGGACGGCAGCTATCCTGCCTGCATGGTGTACACGAAAGGTTTTGACATTTAGCATAAGAGAAAAAGTAACCTTTTCATTGGCAATGGGAAATCTGCCACGTGCCAGAGAGGTGGGATGTGATGACAATCAAGGACTTTGTGACATGCACTCAATCAGCTCCCTGTGAGCTCCTCCAGCAAGGAGGGTGATGGGAGGGAACAACTACAGGGTGCTCAAATGTGCCTTTCTTCTGTGGCTGATGGGCATGCCAAAACACACCCTGAAAAGCTCAGAGAATTTATTCCTAATAAAACACAAGTGTAAAAATGATGCTGTTACCTGTAAATTATCTTGTATTTTCCATCCCTCCCTTTATCCGATAAGGCAACCTCGTAGGTACAGGTGTAAGGCAAACCATTATTGTGTCTATCTGCATTTAGAAGGCCAGTGGGAGGTGACCAGGAAAGCAAAACTGTTCTTGCTTGAATATTTGTAACCTATAAAAGAAACATCAGTTACTCTGAATTCCAAGGAAAAAACACTGCCCTCTAAGGGTGTGCTTCCTGCTTGCATCTTCACAATCAGTTTCTTGTAAAATGGAAATTTCAGTGCTAGAGTTGAAAAGTAAAGGGTCAGAAATGATCAACAACACAAATGAAAATACAGATTCAAAGCATAAAGCAATGTCTAACAGATGAGGAATACAGAGAGATGTTCCCTGCAGTGAACTAGCTCGTCACTGTCTGAGCATCCAACAAAGGATGCCTTGCACCTCCTCTGGAGGTACCGGCTGACATGGCCACTACCAGAAGGGAACTGGAACTAAGTGGAACAGACTTTACCCTATAGATTGTTTTGTACACAATTATCTTCCTGAAGGTTTTATTAGGGAGCTTCTCTAATAAAATACTGATGGCTCTTCCAGTCATCCTGCTTCTTATTATTTGAAACTGTAGTAATTCAACTGCAAAGAACCCAGTTTAATCTGCAAATTTACACTGACTCAAAAGGGAAAATCATAATAGAAGTCCAACTTGTCAATTAAAAACTACATTGCAAATCACTTTGTGCACTGAGAGACTAAGTCTGTGATCTGCAGTCACTCGTGGGTGCAACACCTCCAAGGCAGATCAGTGAGGATTCTCTATTAATAAAATGTGGAGAAAATACCTCAAACCCCTGCACCAAAACAGTTTCATCACCTCACCAGTGCAGCTGTATGGTTCTGGAAACACAGGTCCACATAACTCCAGACTGACCAAGCTTACAGAACTACCATAGCCTTGCTCACCAGGAGAGCCACTGGCACAGTGCCCCAGGCATCGTTCATCAGCTGCACATACCCAACAGCAGCTTCCCAGAGAACAGCCCTCTGTTATCAGGCCAAGAAAGAAGGAAAAAAACCTCTCCCCTGCCACTGTCTCAAAAGAAAAAGAAATAAAAAGCAATAGTTGCACTGCTATCTGGGAAAGACAGCACATTTTTATGCATGCCTGCTGAAAAAGCCCAGGGAAGCCTCGAAGCCTCCAGCAGTTCACCACAAACTCTCCACTTTTCATCACAAAAATGATGATTTTCCTTCTTAGTTTTAGGGAGTATATAAAGAATATTTTTTAGCTATCCTCCATGAGGAGGAATCAAAGACTGATGTTTTATGTTCTTTATTTCTCTTATGTATCAAATTTCACTGGTTCTATCGTTTTAACAGATTTTTCCAACACAAAGAGCAAGACGTTGTTATTTCGGAAGATCTAAGATGAATGATGCAGGTGCTCAGTTACACATTTCCTACCTTTTCTCAAGACAGTTGAAACCCTCCGCCCATAAATGATCTGGTAATGAAGTATTAGCAACCAGCTTTCAGGGACTGCTTGTTTACAAATCTGGCTTCTGGATATCTTTACATAATGGAGAATATTTAGCTTCTCACATGAAAACACATTGCTTCCAGCTAACGAGCACTGCAACTGTTGTGTCTGATACCCATATATCAAGCAGATTCTTTCTGAGCAAGTCATAAATCCATTTTCAACAGAGTGACAAGTAGGTGACACCATGAAACATCTCATCTTAAACACCGTGATCTCAAAAGTTAAAAGATTTTAATTTAGTGCCGCACATTTAAGTCTTGCCAGAAAAGAAAACCTTTGTTCAACCTGATGTGAAAAATTAGTTTTAAGGAAAGAAGGTTTAAGAAGCATCAAGGTTTCATTGTAAAAAATATGGATGTGCAATTTCTTATATGAATTTTCATGGCATTTCTTGCTTCCATGGCATTTTCTTGTCATATTTTTCTGATGCTATGAAATCAACATTTACTTCAAAAACTTGGACCAGGGAACACTGGATCTGGATTAGATAGCTCATAAGAATCTTGAGTGATTCAAGTAAGACATACAAGTTAAATTTTTGAGAGATATATATACACACACACACGTATGTGAATGAAAATGTGGCAAAGATATTTAGAGCTAAAAGTCTGCATTTCAAATAATATTTTGATCAGAAAACTGAACAGTAAGATCCAAACAGAGTTTTATTTTTTTTAACAGGCATCACTCCTATGCCAGCTCAGCCCATCAACATGCAGTTTCTTTTATTATGGAAATATGCTTGCATAATTGTTTTTCATAAATTCAGACAGACTTGGAGCTAGAGGCATGATATCCTGCCAATGTTCTATTGAAATGTTTTTCTCTATGACTACTCCCAAGGACACACGTATATATTCCGCATACGGCAGAGCTCTGGCCCTTCATGAACCTTAGCAATCTGTAAAAAGTTAGGCCTTAAGTTTCTTAAAATAAGAAAAAATATCTTATGGACTAACTGCTAGTAACAGTAGACTATTATTCTGAAGTCAGCAGACAGACATGTCCACGCTGAGGATAAAAGTCCAAACGCAGTTGCTAAGCTGCTCCAGCTACAGCATTAATTTCTGACTGATGGAGCGCCCGGAGTGGCTGCTGACTGCCTCAGTGGTGGTGGGTACACAGCAACTGCTGCTGGAGGCTTAAAAATAAACACCAGAAATCGTTAAATACAATTCTTAGCCGCACTGAGTACACATAGCAAGTGTAGGAAAGCAAGTGAGGGGTCAGTGTCTGCACGATAAAGTCAGAAAAGGCAAATCTATACCCTCCCTGGGTACAGAAAACAGAACAGGGCCGTGCACGTCAGCGCGAGTGTTGGGAACAGATTTATTTGTGTGGCTGGAGATAAACCTATCTGCTGCTCCCTGACCAACAGGCTGATAGCGTATCAGGTTTACCTGCCAAAGGCATATCTCTTCGATATCTCATTTCATGGCCAAAGCCAACACTTAAGTTTACCAAGGAACTCCTACCTGGAGCAGGAAGCACCAGCTTTGTTGTGAAAAAGGGTAAGTTAAATAAATGGGGTTATGGTATGCTGAGAATAACAAGCAGGCACTTGGAAACCAGCTTGGTAGCTTTAATTCCAAGTTTTCTCACTTAACACAAACACCTTTCAAAAGATACCAAGCAGCTGAATGAACTTGGACCAGCCCTTCCCATGCTGTGAGGAACAGCCCAGCTACCATTACCATGGTAGGCTTAATGGCCCTTCTGAATTTACAGACATAAATACAGCACTGTCAGTAAAAACCAGTTTATTAGTCATCAATTGTGCCCTAATTCCATCTGACCAAAATATAAGCAGCCAGAGGTGTCTCTTCCTAGGCTGAGCAGGTAAACCTTTGTGCTGCTTTCTAGCTACCCCAGCCTGCCTCGTATGTCCCCAAAACCACTGTGCTTGCTTTGAAGAGGGCTGGCTTGGCCTTTTAGTCAAGACCTAACAAAAGATTCTCCCACAAGGAGTTTTGTGTCTGGTGAAAAGCACAGTTAATTAGTTTCTGAAAACTTCTCAGTTTACACAGTAAATGCCTCCTTTCTGCGCTATCAAAACTCGGTGGTGTAAATAATTATTCCATAAAAGCCCCTGGGAAAGAATCCAGCTCCTGCACCACTTCAATAAGGTTACAAGACTGATGAATATCGGGCCTTCCCGTCTTTCAGGTAATGAAAAATGTTTCTGTACAACTTTCATTATCTTTCAAATTCCGGGTTAGCATTCACAGGCATCGTGTGGTTCGGGGGCTTATTGTATGTGTGAGAACTACACTGCAAGCAACATTCATTTACTCCCTTGAGGGCAACGTTTGAAAGACTTGGGGGTCAAATGAATTCACGGTTATTACTGGGTCGAGATTCTGCTTTTAAACTATGGCTCTAATCCTGCAATTTTAGGCAAAAATCCCAATGATTAAATATGAGTTTCGCTGCAGAGCAAGTCAGCAGGAGCAGGCTGTCTTTTGGAAAGTCAAACTGACGTTTGAGCTCCAGCTTGACAGACCTGTAGTGACTCCCAACAGGGGGTGATATCCCCCCCTCGAGCCCCATGGCAGTCAGATGTAGCAGTGCTGCCCCCTCCACTTCCGAAACACAGAATCAAGTTTCCCTTCCCTCACCCAGCTATTTGCTTCAGAGAATGCTTACTTTGTCTGTGATAATGTGAATTAAAAATGTATTTCAGTTTAGATAAAACCACAGGGGAATAAAAGCACAAGGTGTCTTTTAAAATTATTGCTGTAAAAGGGACAAAGCTACGATAAAATTTAGAGTTTGGCTGCACATCTCTCAAAGAGGTGGCAATATTTATTCTCGAAAACAGACTTTTTATAAAGTAATAATTTAAACAGTGTGTATATTTTGTATTTGGAGAGGTACCTGTACAAGTCAGACACCTCCAAGTGATACCATGGCTGCAGTCTCCTGAAGGAATCATAGAATTTCAGGGCCCTCACAGATCATCTAGTCCCAACCCTCTGCCCTGGGCAGGGACATCTCCCATCAGAACAGGCTGCTCAAGGCTTTATCCAACCTGGCCTTGAACACTGCCACGGCTGGGGCAGCCACCGCC